TCCTTAGCAGATAAAGGTGGGGAAAGATCAGTCTGAGCAACTGTAGTAGATCGAGTAGGACGACCATGTAATGCATAACACTTGTCAATCGTGTGACCTAGTTTGCCACAATGTTCACACTCATGTAATGCATAACACTGGTCAATCTTGTGACCTAGCTTGCCACAATGTTCACACTTAGGACGCCCTTTTCCCTGTTTACGAGGGCGAGTTCGATCATCACGGTGAGATACCAATGCAGAAGAATCATTAACAGAAGCAGGTGTGTCAAGGTTGGGTTTTGCTGGTATACGCAAAAGAGTGGAGCAGGTCAATGTCAAGGTGGGGACAACCGGAGAACCTAAAATTTGATCACGAATATGTGAATATTGAACAGCAAGTCCATGTAATGCCCCTAGCATGAAGAACTTTGATCGTTATCCTATCTCGATGGCAGGGTCGGGGGAAGGAGGCAATAACTCATTGAACTCATGAAAAAGAGCATGAATTTTGTCCATATAATCAGTCATAGAATCTTGATGTTTAGAGGCAATAACATCTACAAATTTAGAACAGACATCATAGAGACATTGAGTATCATTGGTGTATAATAACTTGGCATGTTCCCAGATTTTGGCACATGTTTCGTAGGAACGAAAAATTTGTTTTAACGAATGATCAAGAGTACCCTTGAGAACCACGCATAACTGAGCATCAATGGTGTCCCAACGGTCTTCCTCACCAGGAGTGAGAGTAGGTGCTTTCGGGGCAAGATGATCAAGATACTTCTGACTCTTAAGCCATAATCTAACGTGTGATGACCATGTGGCATAATTAGGGTCAGTTAACTTGTCAATGGATAAGTACACATTAACATAGTTAGTGTAGATGGAAGGATCAGACGCAGTACTGACAGAATTGGAAGTACTAAAAGGAGCGGAAGAACTCATAAAGGGCGGAGGCGATAGTGACAGCGGCGTGAACCAGTACACCAGGTAAGTTCCCAGGAAAGAGAGGTGGGTCACTAATGGACACGCTTAAATACCAAGTCTTTCCTTGTCAGAGCTTTCCTAGAAATGCACTTTCACACTACCAAATAACCGACATCGATAGCGGCGGTGGTAGCGGCTTCAATAGTGGTCAAAGGCGAAAAAAAAAATTCAAAATAACCTTAAGCTCTAGATACCATGTTGAATATAGAAGAAATAGAGTTTGAGATTAATCTCCCTTGTGTATAAATCACACATAGGGTAGTCTATTTATAGTAGAGAGATACAACTAAAAGAGTAACTGAAAGTAACAGAATAAACAGAAGATATTGTTTGATATTATGGTTAATATCTAATAATATCTTAACAATATTAAATAATATCTAAATAATATCTAACACAATTCATATTAACGTCTCACCGTTTGCAACCTTACTTTCTTCAAGTTCTCTATCCCTTCACTGCACTTCTCTAAAATATGTCATATCTTCTGTGAAGTTGCAACTCTCGCAATCTTTTCAAAATGGACTTTATAGACACACTGATGAATAAGAAAGGTTATTTTACAATCTTTCCTCTTGTTTTCTTTGTAAAGAGCATTTTGTGCCTTTATGGAAGTTTCAACATCTTCAATAATGTCTTTCTAGATATCCAAGAATTGTCTTTATCTACGCACTCCACTTGTCCTAGTTCTTTCCATTGAGAATGAGCACATTAGTTGAAAATGCACCATGTCTCATCTAAACCTTGCTTTGGATACCAGTTGTTAGACTAAAGGGAGAGAAAGAGATAACATGCACACAAGTGCACATAAATGCAAATTAATAGAAACTATATTCTTTAATTGGTGAATATAGATTGTCATTTATGTAGATGTATATAAAATATTCATAAACTATTATTTAGATTGAAGAAACAAAAGTAATGGTCTTGTTTTGAATCATATCCTAACAACAACATTACAAATAATCAATATATTCATTATCACCATATTAACAAGAAAAAACAAAGATTATATAGAAGATTAAAAAAAATGATGAGGATGAAAAAGAAAAAAAAAGATATGACTGTTCTAAATTCATCCAAATATATTTTACTAAAATTTGGAAAAAAAAATATAAGAATAAGAAAATGAAGAAAAGAAATATATAAGAGAAAGTGATAAAAAAAAATAGAAAGAGAAAAATAATATTAAAAAAATAGTAATGACTTGTTTGAAGTCATTCATATTAATCCCACGAAATAAACATATTTTATAAACTCTTTCTTACCTCTGACTAGGTGGTAACCACATGAGATATTACTCATGGGCTGAGTTGTATGACAAATAAGTTAAACTAAATAACCTCACCTAATTAAAAAAATTAATTATGATTTAACTTTTTAATTTAATATTGAATCAAACAAATTTAGTGTTTTATTGTTATTTCATTTGAATAGTTTTTATATTATAAAATTGTAATAAAAATTTATATTTTAAATTAATGGTGTTATAATCATAATTTTCTCATATTTATAAATAAATTACATAATTTTATAATCAAAATACAAATTTGTTATATGTTTTGATAAATACAAGAAAATTATAAAATAATCTTAGAAAACGTATTTATCTATATTGATAATATTAAGTTTAAATATAATAAATTATTTAATTAATTTTAATTTTAATTATTTTTTAATATAAATCAAATAAATATATGTTTTAAAATAAATTTGATTTTAATCGAAATTTTATTTCTTATATTGTTTTTCAATTACTTCTTTTCAACAATTTGGTTTTAAGGACTCCCAACTAGAACGTGTAGGTGGTGAACACATGGACAAACTCAACTGAGTAGGAGAGAGAAAATATAGTTATCTTAGGTTTTTTTTAATTTAGAATTATTTTTATGTTTTATTAAAACAAATTTCATTTATAAAAGCATGATCTTTAAAATATAATAGAAAAAGATGAAGGTGTTGTAAGGCTGCACCAAAAGGCCCAGACTTTATTCATATATGGGCCTACAGTTTTATACTCATATCCATTTTCATTCATTTCAAGCCTAACATTGGACTTGAGGGTCATGTACATGTTATTAGAGAGATCTGAATTGACATGTAATTGATTTAAGTAGTGTTGAACTCAGTACACACCATGCTTAGAAAATTTTATTTTTTTCTCCAATTTTTTTGCTTTCTAGTGTACTACACGTGAGTTAAAGAATTGTGGCAGGGTTAACATAGAAAATAATATAAAAAAAAAATCTTATATCACGTAATCATTGAAATAAAAGATAATTTTTTTTTCTCAATCTATTAAAATATTTTTTAATATATAATAAATTAAAATTTTAAAATTAATGATACTTTAAATATGACGAGGGTAAGAAAAAAATAAAATAAAATTCATCAGCTACTGGTGCATTCATGCGCTACGTGGCAGTGGCTTGCCCCGTGTTGGAGTTGACTTTCTTTTCTTGCTTACCATCCACGTGTCCATTTTAGAAGCCATCAACTTCCTAGATTACAGCTTCTCATGCACAGCACTTGTCTGAGAAACCAATGAGAGTGGGTTCCAAAGTCTAGGATCTATCTACCATTATTTTGTTCAGTAGTTAGTTATTATGCTAATATATTACATTTTAAATTTTATTATCATTTTATTTCATGGTTCGTAAATAAGTAATACGAATAATTCATATATTTTTTTATAGAATATTAATATATTTTATTTTAAAATGTATATTATAAAATAATTTCACATGATTTAATTTTGAAATATATATTTATTAAATCTTCTTATTCAGTCAAAATGTTTATAATCACAGTAATTTAGTATGAATAGAATTCGTTTTAGTTTGAAAAAAATTTAAATTCTAAAAGTTAAACTTAAATATGTTTGGTTTATTTGTATAAAAATAGTGAGATGTGATAAAACTAGATACATTTTTCAAATAAACAAAACTTAAAACACATATTAACTGTACGTGAGTTAAGAAAAACACATATTAATTATAGGTTTGTTAATTAATCTTTAAAACATGCTAGCTCTTTACTATAAATGAGGGTGCAATTAAGTTAAAGTGGGAGCACATAAGAACTTGATAATTTTGACACATGCTAAAAATTTATAACTTTTTTTAAATACCATTTATTCATAATAATGTTATTTATAATGCTCAATAATGTTTGATAGTTGCTCAAAGCTTAAGCTAATAAAGGTTTACAACCCACCAAAGCTAAAAAGAGGTTTATAATATATTTTTTAAATTTATTGGTAGATACAAAATGTAGGTAACTTAGGATAAATGATATTAGAATTACATCACAAGGTTTTATAATATGTTGCAAACTTGCCATTATGATAATTGGGGATCCACGTGAATTGCGTGCTTCTAGCAACACTTGCTTTTCATAATCGAGTACGTGGAATTGATTGTGATATTTGTTTTAATTAAGATGCTGCCAACTTGAGGATTTCAAAGCTAAAATAACTACAAAACCACAAAAACATTTTGATATATTTTTTATTTTATTAATTTACAAAAAAATGGAAAATAAAATAAAATAAAAGTTTCATTTATATTGCTTTTAAATTTATATGAATTTAGTTCCTGTTTAGGATTTCTTTATTCTAATAGAAAATATAAAAGCTAATATTCGAAAACGTATCTTATTATATAAAAATATCTATTCGCATCCAACTCAAATTAAAGGTGCCACACACTTGCCACGACAACAACATTCATGCCAAAAGGGAACACTGTGATCCCGCACACACTGGATCCCACCCCTTACGCCTAGATTACTATCTTTACTCCTCACCAATCACGTAAAGTCACGTGGCAAATAGTTCTTTCTCCCTGCACGCGCCGGGAGTGGCACCCTCCGTAATTTTCAACAAAACAGTGTCGTTTTCGTAACCCTAAATAACAATCAATAATCCCCTCTTAAAACCTCAGCTCCAGGGTTCTTTCTCTCTTCATCGCACTCCTTCCCATTTTCTCTCTTGAAACCTCAGTACGGAGAAACGCTTCCGCCGCCGCCATGGCCGCGATCGCACGACTAAGGGAAGCTGCGGCGCCGCTTATGGCCCTCGCGCTCCGGTCTAACCGGGGGTTCGGATCGGCGGCCGCGGCTCTGTGCTACCACGATGATGACGTCGAGGAGGAAGAGAAGTGCGCGCCACGTGGCGTGCTGGACGCGCAGGGTTGCACGCCCGAGCGCGGAGTGCAGTGGGTGATGATAGGGGAGCCTGGAGCAAGGAGGAACCTCTTCGCGCAGAGGCTCTCGAAGCTTCTAGAAGTCCCTCACATTTCCATGGCCACGCTCCTAAGCCAGGACCTCAACCCTCGCTCCTCCCTCTACCTCCAAGTAATTCGTTCATGCACTCTTTCATATCTATCTAGGGTTCCCTTTCGCCTTTTTTCGCTATTTCACTTTTTTGCCTCGTAATTTTTTTCATTCTTTCTTTCGACGCGTTTCTCAGGTTTTGAATTAAAATTAATTGTGGGAATAAGTTGAATTAGTGGAAAATTAGGTAATTATCGTTTTAGAAAGTTTTTGCCCGGGAACCTGGAAATGAAAATCTTACACGGCCACAAACGGAGTGGACACTCTCCAGAATTACGATAAAATATAAATTGTAGTGATTTTGGACATATGATTCGTTTCGGTTTCTTATCGAAGAACTGATTGTAGGCTTAGAATAAGCAACTTTAAGTAATTTTTGGGGACTAAAAGAATTATGATGAGTTTTCTATTAGTTTGTTTCTAGAATAAAGACATGGTAACATATGTTGGGTAATTAATTTTACAAAATCAATTTTGGCATCCAAACACGCACTAATTAATTAAGCTTGCTTAACGTTGTGGATATTTTAAGAATGCGTATAAACTGAAAATTCGTTTTTGAATGGTTTTACTTTTTTTAACTTTTTTTTTTGTAAAATAATTATTACCAAATATGTTGTTAGATAGAGAATTTTGGGATTGAATCCTTCAAAGTTATACTAATCTTATTTTGACATTTTTAAACATTTCATCATTAAATGAGTTTCTTAAAAATAATATTCTTATACCCACTTTAATCTTCCAATAAAATTAGTGGTTAAGGGGGTAGAAGTTTTTATTGGTACGAATTTTGTAAAGCTTGCTTGGTTTCTGTTTATTAAATAATTACGTTGTAAAATAATTTTTATATTGTCAGAAATTATTTTGGTAGGACTGTTAAGATATTTACTATTAAAATTAATAAGTTACTTTACATTGTAGTTTGTGATTGAATTTTTATACTGTAATAGAGTGTGAAACAAAATTTGAAATTTAAGTTGAGGACAAAGTAAAAGGGAAAAAAAATTGAACTTTTACTTTTTGAAGTCTTATCTTTTCCTTTTCTCTTTTGTTAAACAAAAGAGAATACATAATTACTCATCTCTTTTTTTACTTTTTTTTTTCTAGTGGTCCAAACATACCATTAGGGTAATGTGTGGTAAAATTGTTTTCCTTCTTAATTAATATTAGTGTGACGTGGGGTTCTTCCAATGCAGATAGCTCATGCTTTGGATCATGGAAAACATGTCCCAGAGGAAATTATTTTTGGGCTGCTAAAGAAGAGACTGGAGGATGGATACTCGAGAGGCGAAACTGGCTTTATTCTTGATGGGTTCCCTCGAACAAGGATCCAAGCTGTAAGTTGTTTCATTTCGTCAATCAAAATCGTGAACTGCTCAAAATTTTCAGTTCTAGTCACTCCTACAAAATGTCGTGATGTTTCACAGGAGATCCTTGATCACATTGCTCGTGTTGATCTGGTGGTGAATTTCAAAAGTTCAGAAGAGGAATTGATGAAAAAGAATATAGGAAATCGAAAATTTAATTCTCACCAAGAATATATTCTTATGGCCAGCTCCAGACACCCAACTAAACAAATGCCGGATGATCATGTCCAAAGTCATACAGACGAGGTAACTAAATACTCTATCTCTTCTATTTTCATTTTGATGCGTTGATGGAATAGTTATATCTGAGGAAAAAAAAATCCAATTTTATAAGCTCCATCCTAACTCCAAATATTCTAAGGATGCCTATTTCAGTTTCTAATCACTGAGTACTTGAACTTATATTTTGGTGTTTTTTTTTTTTTAAATTCTAGTGCAAGCTGTTGGAAGATTACTACAGGAAGCAAAAGAAACTTCTGAACTTTGAAGTAGAAGGTGGACATGGTGAAACCTGGCAGGGACTTCTAGCTGCGCTACATCTTCAGCATATTAATGCTTTTATTCTTCACATAAGTTAACAGCGTGAAGAGCCACCAATCTCCTATGGCATCAATCCTTTGTCGGCATTTTAGTATATGTGAATATGAGAGCTACAATTTCATAGAAATTTTGTGTCGGTTTTTCTATATTGTTGATTGTTTTGCAAAATTTTGAGTGATAGTTTGTTCTGTAGTGCAACTATCCAAGTATTAATCACTACATGTATGGCCCTAAATCCTGCTAGTAATCCATGTTGTCTTCTTCTGTTCAATTGTCCCATTATAGTCTCTTTTCTAGTATTATTCCTGGTCCCAAAATCACGTTATGCACGAAGCATATGATGTTATATTTAGGACTATTGAATATCCTATGTTCATTTTTGTATAGCCATGTCATTTTATTACAGTAAATGAGGTTTACTTGAAATAGCATTCATTCAGTCTGAAGACTTAAACAACCTTTAAAATTTTCCGCTTTCTTTAAAAGGCAAATTGTATTAGAATTTCTCGGATCTTTCGAACCGAGATTCAAAAAAAATCTGCATCTTAAATCAATTACATAAATAAGCAATTCAGAATTTTATCTCAAATGACCTTATTGTACGATACACCCAAAGACTCGAACATTATTTATTTATTTATATGCAGGCCATTTCCACCACTCGCTTTTCAACAACTGGTGTTTTTCTTCTGTTAAACCTAGTATCTTGCTTTTTACAGAGGCACCCAAGAAATGAAACAGGAAAAGGGTGAAATCTAGTTTGTGCAAGGTCATTCACTGTTCATCCAAACATCCCTGAGGAGTTCGTATCTGATGGCAGATTCATCGCGACTCTCTTTCCAGTTCCAATTGGACTTTGTTGATGCTGGTGAGGAGGAGCCACTATTCAATATTAAAGATAATGGATAGTTTAACTCATCGAGCTCATCATCACTGGTGTATGACTTCCTAACAACGGAAGATTTGCTTCTTCTTAGCTGAGATTCACTTCCAATCTCCCCCGTAATGCTTGTAATGGTAGTTGCTGGTGGAGGTGAATACACTATCGGAGCTGCATTGCATGGGAAATTGTCGATAGACTCATTTCCATCATCATGATCATCCTGCTTCATATTAAAAGCAAATCTAGAGACCATAAGCCAAATTTGGAGTTTCTTAATCAATTAATCATAAAACATTGTACATCAAACCAGCAACCATGTACATATCATGAGTGTCAAGTGTCAAACTATAAATCCTGTACTCCATCTAGATTCAAATGAAAGCAAGGGGTCATATTTGGTGGACTCCCAGGTTACTATTTCTAAAACACCTTTTTCTTTGAACCTATAGTTCTCAATAAATATAATTTGAGGGTAATTTAAGAACAATACCTCATTATTGTATGAGAACAAAAAAGAAATGAACTTCACTACTATTCTTAATCAGTGTGAAACTAGTTAATTTTGCTCTTAATTAGGTGTGGAGTTAGTAAAAATAACGAGAACAAAAAGACAACTGCAAATTTATTTATCTAACCTGTGAGTCCAGTGCTTCAAAAACATCATTGGGAATTGGATCAGGGCAAAACTCATCTGGTACAAAATTTTCCAGTATCCTCTTGATTAGTGATGCACTAAACATGGGGCACACCTTCACAAACAAGGATGAAAGAATGATTAAGGGGAAAAATCACGTGGCAAGTTATGTAAACAGCGGAAAACAAAAGTTCGTTGCTAACCTCTTTCCTGATGGATGCACTTAACAACATATCCTTAGGAAGCATCAGGAGGTCGCTTAATGCATTAAGAAGATGGAAGGATTTGAAGGATGCATTTTGACTTCCATCATTGCTGTCAAGTTCATCTTCCTCTCTATCCTCAAGTGAATCATCATCATCCAGACCAAATAGGTCGGTCAGCCATCTAGACCAGTTACCAATCTGAGAAATCCACAACACAAATCAAAAGAGGTAACCAGTTGAAAAGTGACATTATATTGAGCATATGCATTCAAATCATTCTTTGTTTTCATTTTTTATGCAAGTCAACCTCTAATTGCTCAATTTATTAATGGTTAACTCCAGGCCAAAGAGTCATACTCCTGGCCCACTTATAGAGCTACATTCAAGAAACAGATATTAGCAGATGAAAGTAGTAAATTGAACCTATACCAGCAGGTTGCAATTACATTCATTAGTACGCAGCCACATGTTCTAGTTCAGATAAAAACATGTTGAGATCAGAAATATTACCGCAGTTTTTAGCTGTGCACCAGCTCCAAAGCTTGATTTACCAGGTGGAATGGGGAGAACCTTGGGATCACTAATGGGATCAGACACAGGATCAGTTGGAATATCATCATCAGATTCCCGAAGAATGGCATTAAACATAGCAACATCCAATCTTGCCACACACTGCTCCATTATCTAGAATAGGTAAAAATAAAATGCAGTATTATGTCAATTTTATCTCATAATCTCACAAAACGTACATATGTATTGATTGGTATATTCAAAGATAGCAGTTTTTTGGGGAAGTTGAGGGATTTTAAATCCCAAAGGGGGAATTACAAATATGTGGCTTCAGCCTAAGCAATTTACAGAAACCATACTTTTCTCCCCCTTTATCTCCAGTGAGGAGTCCGTAGGAGGAACTAAGCTCCAGTGAAAAATACATGCACTCATTATTCTTTGTTTACACATTAATCCATTTGAAAGCTTTTCTGCTACCCATGCAGACTAACCTACAGATAAATGGCAATTGAAAAGGGACAATACAAAATGATACTACAATGAAACTTGAGTACCTTTAGCCTAAAAGGATAGAAAGAAAGGAAGAGAGAACTGGATAGAGATAGACTAACCAATCTAGGCAGCACAGACAAACAACCACACTCATGCCCTCCAGCTCGGATAGGACACAGTCTTTCACAGGCTTCTCTAAAAGCATTCTTCCAAATATCCAGCGATAAATTTCCCTGCTCTTGGTCACATGATGAGCCGGACATATTTTTATGGTTTTTCAAAGAATCTTTAAGAGTGACCTTTGCTTCAGCACGCTGCATATGCGGAGTCAAAGACTGAACAGAGAGAAAGAATGATCCATGTTAGATGCCAATGGAATCATTTTATATTAATAATGAACTCGTATGGGGACTTGAGTATGTTTGTATGAGATGAAAGTGTTACCTGCCACCAAATAGACTCCACAATGCGAGAAAAGATCCAAGCTTCCACCTTTTCCAATGCTGATGTGAACACATTTGGGTCATCCCAGTTACCTATACCCCCACACTCAAAAGCTGTATTATCGTTTTTCCTAGGAGAAAACCCTCTCCATATTAATGATTGTGTGACCTTTCCAACTTTCCCTTCTCCATTATTCCTTCTTGTACTAGATCCAGAAGGATTAGATGGTGTCACATCTTTGGTAGTTTTGCTTATAATTGTTCTCAACACAATGGAGTTAGACAACCAAAATGTCAACCTGTATCCAGATGCAAGCAAGAGGTTAATTGCCCAGGCAGTTAGTCAGCGCAGTTTCTGATGAAACTGCAACTTCCAATTATGTAGTAATAATAAGAAAACTCTATTATCTAATCTGATGATTCAATTAGCTGATAGTTTCATGCACTATATCCACTTTATCTGCCTCGTAATCTTGTATTTTTATCGAGACCAGAGTAAGTTTGATTTCATTTCAAACAGAGCAGTGTATGTGTAAAGTTTTCTGCATGCCATACAAAGTTTCTTGTTTCCTGAGTAAATTAATAAAAGATATTTTTTCTATTTTCAAATAAATCTCAAACTTCTCATGATGAAGCAACTTGTGTTTAAATTATTATGTTGACTAGTGATAGAACAATGGATAAATATACTTGAATAAAATGTAGTAACCATTTGTACCAAAAAAAGGCAGTAACCAATGTAACCCAAGCTTACCTTGGGACATCATTTCCACATGCCTTCGCAACAAGGACTAATCCTGAAACAGAACTTTTAGCAGCCCCAGCCCTTCTTGCTTGAAGATTTTCTTTACAAGCATGAAGGTAGAGTCTGGAAAGGCGCCGAGCTGGAGCATGAACCTTACTCATGGAGCTTCCATGCTCAGCAACAACTGAATATAAAGCAGCCTCAATAGCAGCAGCTTCTCTTAACTCTCCTTCAAGCATTTTTATCTTGTTTTCCAAGTGCCCAATCTTGCTGTCTAAAATGGCATTTCTGGCCTCCCTTGGATAAACCTTGGCATCTTTTCTGTCACTGCTTCGAATATTCCCTCCATTATTTTTTACATCTCCATTAACACCATTTTCCTTTACCTCAGCGAAATGATTGTTACCAACTGACCCAATACTCCTAACTGAGTCTGCTGATGACCTTACAGACTTCACATGCTTTAATCGTTCATTTTTCAGAATATTTCCTTTCATACCATTATCTGAATCACCTAAAGAATACGAATTGCTACTCAATAAAGCTTGATCTTTTGCATATTGTGCCACTGATTCTTCTTCTACATGATACTGCTTATCAAAATGCAACATTTCATTTCCATGCCTATCCTCGATGGAACTGTAATATGTATCACATCCCCCCTCCTGCACAAGATTTTTATCAACTTCCTCACATCTCTCACTTAATTTGTCTTTGGTTTCCAAACCAAAGCTTGGATTCTTGTCCCTGAGGTAATTACTACCTAGAGATGTAGTGTCGCTAGAATAGATGTCACAATCACTTTCGTTAATGCTTATTTGAACACCTGTACCCATATCTCTACAATTGGCAACTTGTTCACAACCCTCCTGATCCAAATTTTCATGCTCACTGCTTCTGAACCTGCTCTTAGAATTTTCCTCCAAGGTTGGGGAAGAAGAATCAGCATTCAAAGAAACAACCTGCTTTGGGGTTGTCAATGATCTTTGATGGGGAGTGCTTGTAATAGAGGTATGACCATTTACTGGACTCCCAACTTCTGAGGAGACATCCATGGATAACACATAGGAAGAACGCCTCTCCAGTCTCTCACATGCATCCTGTTCCATCACATTCAACTTCTCAACTCTTGTCTCTGAGGCCAAGAGATGCTCCTTGTCATTCCTACCACCGTTTTGTGCTGATCCATTTGGTGCATTCTGCAATTCGGTAGCAATTACTACATGAGAACCATCTTAATATATCATTATACTTAGATATACCCAACAAGCAGAAACCAGGCATTATCATACACATTATTAGCAAAAGAACAATTACTAAATAGATTGACAAGAATTTTGTCAATGTTATACTATGTTTAGATGTACCAGCAAGAAGAGTGAAGCACTACCATTCCCTTCATAGCAAAAGAGAAATGTGTAGTGAAACATGTAATTAGAAATGGCTAGGAAACTGAGATTTTAATGGAATAACATTAGACATCCCCATACTTCCATTGTTATAGGACCAACAGTGTATAAAGATGATCTGTAAAATGAAATGACAAACAGTAAAGACTGAATAAGAAGCAGTGCCCAGGGCAGTAACCTCCCTGCCACCTAAATTACTCAATTCATGCCCCCAATATACTTGTTCCTGTCATTTAACTAACTCGTACATAATATGTTTACATATCTTTTTCCACTAACATAATCTGTTATAACCTATAGCAAACAAAAAATAATCCCTATTCTTGCACATCCATGTCCCCACTCTCTTTCTCCGTTTATCATGTGCTTTCTTCATATCCTTATGTGTGTAATTGGAAGAATAACAAATAAATCGGTGTCCTATTCTCTTTGCCGTGATTCGGAAAAAAAAAATCATTTGAAAGGGTCAGTCAAGCATTTGATGACAAATTCTAAACCTTGGTCAACAAGTGCCAAATGTCTAAACATTGGAATGACTGCATTTTGTCGTATTTCAAACAGTACATTCATGTAATAAGGCTGGAGGACAACACAAATTGTTACAGATACTAACATGGTTAGAACAAAAGAAATGTACACTGCTAAAAATAAGAGAATGAAATGCTGGAACATACCTCTTCTTGTTCAGGAGGCATACACGCGCTAGACTCAGATGAAGTAGTGACTGCAGCCGTAGATGAATGAGAGGAAACATCATCATCAGTAAAAGAGGCAATCTCAGCTTCCTCAGCATACTCTTCATTCATCAATGCTGATACAGATTCACTGCCATTATTGTCCTTTGGCACCTCTTTTGACAAGCTGTCTTTCAAAGAGGACCTAGGGTGACTCTTTTCAACAGGCTCAATTTGAATGAACAAAAGTGGCTGATCCATGTTTCTGTAGTTCCTCTGGCAGTTCAATGGCGTTCGAATGCTCAAGGTCTCTCCAAGTACACCACAGTCTGCCAAGTCTATGATGGCAGTCCCCAGCAACTGCCCTTTAACAGTCTTGTCTCTCCTAGTCTCATACAAGTGGAACTCCAAGCAATTCTTTTGGAACACCGCAGCAGTACTATTTCTGACAGACATATCCCTTGACAGAGTTACAGGAAGCTTAAACGATTCATTAAACTCGAGTTTTCCTTCACCAGCAACAGAATTAGGACTGAGAGAAGGGGAAACACGACCAGTAGAGCCTGAAGCACGTTCGCCATTCTCCCATTGTATCAATACAGAACGAAGAGACCTGAGAGATTGAGATGGCGGCCAAGGCTTGATCTCCTGAATGTGAATTAGGTATTCCATATGAACAGCACCACCACTTCTCCTGTTCTTTCCTTTCATTGCTGCCGCAAATATAAGGGTCCTTTTGAAGCAAAACTTCTTAAATGCAGTTGAATATGTAGTTGAACAATCACAACTCAGAAACCCTCTGAAGTGAAACAGAGCAATAAATCAGATTGAGATTTGCATTTTACCAACAATCCTAGTCAGATAGCAATGAGTGGTTTTTGAACTCATTAATTATTAAGGATAATTGACTCAACAAGGGGAAGCAGAAACAAAAGGGAAGTTGGGGAAACAGAAAAAAAAAAAAAAAAAAAAAAAGGAGTAACTTTGCCAGTGAAGCAGCCAACCAAGATTTGGTGATTATCTTGAACAAACTTCCAACATTGAAGACACAATGTAAGGACGAGACGGTTAAACTATTTAAGACTCAAATTTAAGTTCACTTAAAGAAAGTTTGGTGCAGATAAATTGAAACCAACCATGAGAGACCAAAATGACCAAAAAAAAAACACAAAACCTTGGACATTAACAGAGTCTCAGATCAAGCAACTCGAGTGCTGGAGAAACCCCAGTAGTAAAGTTCAGAACTTGAAGGCAGAACCAAGTAGAAAAATGATAATGCAGAATATGGTGTCAGGTTAAATAGAGAAGCAAAAGTCATGGCAAGTTGAACTAATAGAATGCTTGAAATGTAAGAAGAGTGAGTACCGGGAAAGCAGTGGCTGGTAAAATCAGTAAGCTGCAACAACCACCTGGAACTGCAAGAGGGTCACCACCATATCTATGGGAGAGTCGCTGCAAGCGAATGAAAATGAAAAAAATGGAGAATGTCGTAAAAAGATTGTAAAAATAATTTATCATTACTAGAAGAAGAACATTCCTATACCAAGTATGAACAGAAAAAGCGCAGATTTTTATTTTTAACAATAAATAAAATCATTTACTCACTGAACTCTACTTAAAAAATTCAACTTCTATTTGATTAAAAAAAAAAGTAAACCCTGTGCTCTTTTGTAAATAACATTGTTTTTTTTTTTTTTTGCTATAATAACATTTTTTATGTTAATTGAAGTCAATTATTAGTCATGAATATAATAATAAACTCATTTTTATTTTTATTATAAAAAATAAAACTATTACGAATTTGCATTATTTTACAAAAGCATTTTGAGTTTTCACTTCGATCTTTGTTGATTAAAAAAAAAGTAAAAAAGTAGCACAATTTTACTATATTTATATGCATTTTCCTTTTCATATCATTTTATATTTATGTGGTTTTTGTTATGCACGTAACTTTCTTGTTGTTGGGAATATGAAAATGCAGAACTACAAATAATTTATCATATTGATAAAAAGAAAATTTGCTAATTTGAAATACCAATTAAAGCATAGAGATTTTATTGTTATAGTAAGTATTAAATATCAAATATTAATTCATTGGTTTTAATTTTTTCTGAAATTGATACTCCAAAAAGGTGTGTACGGAGTTACCTCTTACCACTGGACAAGAATAATTCATGTTAAACCAAAACGAGGTCGTTTTGGTGCAAACCAAAGAAAATAATAAAATCATGATTTGGGTGACAGCATCATGATTGGATGCTTTGGCAGAAAATGTAGACCTCATTAAATATTAAAACAATAAAAACAGAGTTAAAAAGTTCGTCACGCGCATTGAGGAGCGTGTGCCCCTACCAGAATTTTCAAGTACAGAACGAAAATATCTAGATTCAAATATTTATTTTAATATAAAAATATATGTTTATGAAGCATGTTAAATAACAAACTATTTTAATTCATTTTAAAATTTGTACAATATTTAATAACAATAATCTTCTATTTTATTTTCTTTTTTCACCTGTATTTTATGATGTTTTTTAAATAAATAACAATGATCTTACATTTTAATAAATAATTATGATAATTTTTATTTTGCTTGTTTTAATTTATCATTAATTTATGTATATTTTTATTTTAAAAATATAATTAATGTAATCTTAAATATTAAAATTTATAAATAAATAATGTAGTTGTTTCAAAATCAACAATTAAAAGAAACGAGTGAATGGTATCTTTCTATCATATAACAATATTTACTTATTTTATATTATTATTATTTTTTATTTTGAAAATAAAATTAATTTAATTTTTTAAATAAAATAATAACACTTCTTAATAGATTAAATAATGATTCATCCACCAAATTTTATTATCTTTAAAATTTATAATAAAAAATATATATATATATATATATATATATATATATATATATATTGTCAACAGTGTATCTAAAAACATATCTGAAAGTTAAATTATAATTTATTATAATTATACTTAATTTTTTGTATATTTATATCCATTAAATATCTATTTTTAAATAATTAATTTGATTTGTATGCAAAATTCATTTTTATATAAAAATAAGTGAATATAAAATAAAAAGTTAAAATATTAAAAAAGAATCATACACGTAATATTTTAAATAAATCTTAAAAATAATATATTTTAAAAAATAATTACTCAAATAAATCTATATCAATTTATTTACCTTTGTTTATTATTTATACATGATTTTTCTTCTCTCTTGATTATTTTTTTATCCATTTTCATCTTTTTTCTTTCTATTTTAAGTCTCTTATTTTCCTGTTTTCTCTACCATTTATTCTCTTAATTAAACTATTATATTAAAATTTAATAAAAATAAATATTTCAAAAACAACATTAAAACTAAAATAATATTGAATAAATATTTAAATTTATGATGACAATAAATATTTATGATGACAAAAATAAATAATTTAAAATTATTTTATCATAATAAATAATTATATATAATTAAAAATATTAAATATTTATAATTTAAATATATTTTTATTTAATATTTTAATCTATTTTTAGAATAAATTATCATAATTAAGTATTTTAAAAAAATATTCATTAAAAAATACTTTAAAATAAATATTTATTTTTTTCTTTATAATTATAATATAATAATCATATTTGTAACCTCTCAAATTTATCCTATAATATTTTATATATATAATATATTAAATTATAATATTTTTGAATTATTTAAATATTTTTATTTTTTAATAATAATAAAATATTTATGTTATTAAATTTTAATATATTATTTTTAATTAAAGAATAAAATAGAAGAACACAAAGAAAAAAAAGTAATTTATGAAAAATAAATAATAAATAAATAAAGGAAAAAATACCTATATTATATTAAAAAATTTATCTTTTCTTATTAAAATTTGTATATGAATAATAAATAAATCTAATTAGATAAATAAAAAATTATTTAAGTAATTTCTATTATAAATATATTATTTCTGAAATTGATTCTAATTTTTTACATTGAAAAATATTTTAATTTTCAATAAAATAATAATTAAAAATATTCTCATAAATACAGTTAATTTAAAAAAAATCTAAAATATAGAGCTGAAATGGTTAAAAAAAATGAAAATTATTGATAAAAATGAAGGAAGCGCGTGAAGAAGTAGAACCTTAACGCGATCAGACATCGTTTTCAATCTGGGTTGGCTATGGTAGTGCTCACCGACACAAACAGTTGCCAACAATAATCAAAAACTATTATCTTAATGTCTCAAAAACCCTACCTAGTCCTGCTCTAGGAAATAACTACACTCTGGTTCAGTTCAAGTGGTTTATCTATTTAAAAATAAATAAATAAAATTGTGATAAAACTTTATTTGTATTTTACATTATTCGTTTATTCTATCTGATTTTATATTGACATTTTAATTATTTATAACTGTATTTTTTTTATATTTTTATAAAATAATATTTTTATTTATAATTTAAGACTATATATTTAAGGTAAGAACCAAAAGAGGGAGAGAATGTGTAATAGAGAATATTTTAAGAAGAGAAAAATAACACGAACATGTAGAAGAGAAAAAAAATGATAGTTTTTTATATTATATTGGAGAAACTAACATAAACATATAATTGTGAAAAAGAAAATAAAATATTAAGTAATGATACCAAAAAAACAATTATAAATGAAAATATTGTGTATATTTATTTTAGATTATGATAATGAAAAAAAATGACATTTAAATTATATTAATAAAATTATTTTTTAATTTTGAACATAATAATTTGATGTAAAAAATATTATATATCATAAGTATTGTTTTATGAAATTAATTTATTCAAATACGTAAATCTATTTATATTATAAATTAAGGGAGGCAACTAAAAAAATTTGTGATTTTCTTTTATTTAATGTTACATATTTCACATCCTTTAGACATTAGGAAACATTGAAATTTAAATGTATTGTGGATAGTTAGGAATGAATTTGATGGTATTATAGTCCAAACCTTTTTATTTTAACGTTAGAGATTCAATGTCCAAATTTAAATTCTTATATTACTGTAAAATTCAATGTTTTGAGAAAATCTAAGTTTTCTAATATGACTTTTTAGCGGTCAAAATATATGTTTTTCTTGTAAATTAATTTTGAATTAGTATTTGTATTCCAAAACTGTTTAGTTAGTTTGATTTTTCATTAAATTAATGTTTTAAGTATTTATTGTTTGTTGAAAGAAAGTATTTATTGTCTTTAATTATTGATGATATAACATGCATATTTGTTCTTTAAGAATATTAAGATGTAATATACTTATTAAAATAAATAAAAAATTAGAGGAACCAATTTTTAATTAAAGATGGGGAAATCAAATACAAGACAAATTCGTAAAAATAATAAAGTTAAGTAACATATAAAAAAGTATGATCTATAATTCAATATTTTAAGATTTTTGGTTAAAAGTGGTATCAGTTCTTATATGAATTTGACTCGTATTTCATTGATATTATTTATCTTCAATAAATTCATCATCGAAAGGTTTATATAGATCAGATAAACATAATCATATTTTATTAATATTATCTCTTATGGTAAATCTCCTACAAAAATATAAGAAGTATAATATTTTATCTTTTTTTAATGAATTATGGTAAAAAATACAACTAAGACATATGTACTATAAGATGAATAATTTGTTTCATAACCAATAGTTATTTTATTTGTTCGCAAAATAAAAAAAAATCTTACTATTTTTTATACTTTCTCAACTTACCCTTCTAAACTTTCATATGGCAATAAATCATTGGGTGAAAATAGAAAATTAATTAAAATATGATGACATTGACAATGTAAATTTTCATTTAATGAAGTTATTGATTTAATAATAATCACTTTAGAGTGGTTTCTATGTAAATAGTTATCAGTATGAAAATATTTTATATTGTAATAAAAATAAATTCAAATAAAAATATTGCCATTATGGTTAAATTAATGATTAATGAGCATAAAACCATAACTGAATTAAGTAAATTACTTTGCTATAAGAAAAGAAAAAACAAAACATTCGATATTTGTTAAACTAAAATATTTGGCAGAGTAACCTCTGAAGCTTTCATGGTGTCTTTTCTTGCAGAAAAGAGTGATTTCCATTTTAAGATTGTGGGATTGAACCTTCAAGTCACCTCTTGAAGCAAAGCAACTTTAAAAAACGACATGGTTTTCAGGTTAAGTTTGTGGAGACATTAGCAGAAAATTTCAATAGGACTGTTGAAGCTTGAAATGAAGTGAATTAGTTTCGAAGGTAATGTAATGAGTGTGCACACCAAGTGAAGCCTGAAAAAACCAAATTGAAGTTTTAAATTATGACTTCTTCACCACCAAACAATCAAAGCTATGAGCCCTACACTGCTTTGGTGCAACTTCCGCCGTCATAATAGCCCAAGGGCCTATGCAATGCAAGTGTAGTTAGCTGCTTCACAATTATGACAGTATATATATATATATATTATTTATGGATTAAAATAATTAATTATAATATTTTAATATATGTATATGTTTTAATATTATAAAAAATAAATTTTTAATTATAATTTTCTTTTAATTTTAATATATAAATATTTTTTAAAGATAAATCATTCCAATCTTTCTTTTAGTATGTAGAATTACCGAATTAGGTAAGATAGGTCAATCATGCTAGTTTTTAAAATCGAAATAGATTAACCAGTTCAATCAATAATGATTATTTATTTATAAATAATCAAATTTTAATTAAATAAATATAAAAATCGAAAAATTGATTCAAAATTAAAAAATTGAAGACTGAGTCTTTAAATGAAACTAATTTTAATAAAAAAAATAAAATTAAAGATTAAATTTTTATAATGTTTTCTTAAAAATATATTATTTTTTAAATTTATTTTCTTCTTCTATCTTCTGGCAACTTAATTAATAATTATTTTATTCTATTTTTATTTTTATTTCATTATTAATAATTTTTGTTTTCTATAATATTATATATTTATAATTTTTATTATAATTTATAATAATAATAATAATAATAATAATGACAATAAATTTTGTTATTATTATGATTATTCTTTTTTTATAAAAAAACTATTGGTGTTGATAAATTTAATATTAAATTTTAAATTCATGTCATCATTAGTCGAGTTTTAAAAATATTACAGCAACAAAAAAAAAAACTTATACCTAATAGTACCTTTCTTTTGAGGTAAGTTGACTTAATCAGTTAGTTTTCACCCAATTAAGAGGATAATGGTGTGAGTTGAGATGTCCACTTCCACACTTTCATTGGTGACAGAGTACCCAAGTGAAGTAAGTAATCAATAATGTATGAATTTTTTTTTCCTTTACTTTCAAGTTGGATATTTTATTTTAAAGAATTAGATAAAAATTATTTATTTTAATGAATTAAAAAAAATTCAATAATCTATTTGCAGTCCATTAAAAAAAAATCAACACCATCATCCTTTGTCTATTTAATAAAATTCATTCACTATAAATATTTTTTCCATCTATAAAAATGACTTTTAAAAAATAATTATTCTTTATGATTATTCTTGTTTATCTAGACAATGAAATATTACTTGATAAAACTAAAAAAAAAAATTATTTTTTTCTTAGCATACAACATAACTTGACACTTCACATGTCAACGTCAGATTTTTTTTTTTTTAAATATCATGTACAATAAATAATTGTAAATGTTGCTAAAAAAATTTATGAGTAAGAAATGGCTACAAATTTTGCCATAAATTTAAATATATTTTTTTTATAATTTAGGTAATAATTAAATTGAAAATTATCTAAAATATTATATAACTTTTATATATTATTTCTATAAAATAATATTTTAATATTTAAGAATTCAATTGTTAATTTTTTATTTTTTTATTTTCTATGAGATCTGTTAACTTGAGTCATTATAAGAATATAAAAAAAAGTTGAATCATAATTTCTACATTATATTTAAAATTTAATAAAAATAAACACATAAATTTCAGAAAATAAAATAATTTGAACCTAGAAGATTACTACTTGAAACCTGTTTTGCTATTTGGACCCCTCGAGCCCAAATAAGCACTTGAACCTCCAACCAAAAAAGAAAATTCAATCTAAAAAAATCATTCAGTTCAGATCCATTTAATTACTATTTAAAACCTGATTTTATTATGTTTACTCAAGCCGAAATAAACACTCGAATTTGCAATCCTAACAAAAAAATAAAAACACTTTCAGACCCAGAAAAAGTACTAATTGAAACTCAAATTTTTATATTAACCCCGAACCCAAATACAAAAAAAAAATTGATTGGATTTGACAACTAACTCTCTAAAATATATATATATATATATATATATATATATATATATATATATATATATATATATATATATATATATAAATTGTAAAGCTAAGTGGGAATAATTTGGTGAAATAATTTTTTTTTATTTTCTATTTTTTATTCATATTTAAAGAAAAAATAAATATGTCTATTAAAAAGTGACATTTGGTTTAATAAATAAAATAAATTATTAATTTTTATTCAATTTTTTGATATTGATATTTTTTTAATCTACATTTTCTTTATAAACGATCTATCGAAATCTTAAATCAAATTAAGAACATAGATTTGTAAATTTTGTTATTATTTTTTATCATTTTTTCATTAAATCAAGTAATCTAATTTTTTCATCAAATTTCTCCCCAAATAATTATAATTTATACTAAAATCTCCACTTCCTAAATCACAAAAAATCAATCCGAAAGGATTGAACCTCGCAATTTGGTAAAGAGAAATTTAAGATTTATTCCCATATATATAAAATAAAAAAAATGACCCAACTGAACCTACTGACATGACACTTTATTCACAAAGATGAACGTTTTAGGTAGAGATAAAGAATCTGGGCCCCAGTGACAGAATTCAAACCATGTATTTTTTTTAAGAAATGATACATTAACTTCCTGATTTTACAAAAACATCCTTTTAAAATGTGAAATTATTATTTATTATTTATGATTGTTGAATAAAATACATTAAATTTTTTATTTTAGGCGTTTAATTATTATTTATATTAAAAATAAATAAATAATTATGTTAAAAAAGTAGAGTAATATTAAAAATATTATCATTAAATAATTACATTATATTAATAAATATAA